AAAAAATTGTCGTAGTAATGATAATAATGATAACGAGATGCGCAAAAAATTTTTTATCCTTTTCTCTCTCTCTTTCTCATTGGTTCGCCATTTTGTTATTACATTTTCCGTTGTTGTTTTTTCCGTAAGTTTTTTATTCTCTCTCTCTCTCTTTCTCTTTCTCTCTCTAAAAAAAAAGAAATAAAAGAAAATTGAATTGCGTATTATTATTATTATTATTATTTTTTTTTTTCTATTTTGCTTTTTTCTCTTTCCTTTCTATTCTTTTCTTTTCTTTTGTTTCGAAGATTCAATGTCACGAAAATCGGTGGGGGGAAATTGGGAGATGGGAAGTGAGGGAGGTTGTGGGGGGGAAGAAAGAAAAGAAAAGAAAAAGAAGTGACTCACATTCGCGTTCCCATTTTTTTTCAATACCGTAATCCATTGTGAAAAGTTTTTTTTTTTTTTTTTTTTTTTTTTAAATTCATTGTATTTCACATAAATGCGTGTTGCGTCGTGCGTGCGTGTGCGCGTGCGCGAGTATAAATAATTTTTCTGTAAAAAAAATGAATATTTATTACGTGGGTCTATCGTTGAGTATAAGGAGGAGAAGGAGAAGGGTAGGGAAGAGGGTAACAAACACCCGGATCCCCCCGTCAGGTTCGTTTCGATTATTTACTTCCTCACCCGTTTTGTGCCCCCCCCCCGTTGGCAAATCCGATGTTGCCCTTACCACTTAGTGAAGTTGAATTCTCTTCTGCTTTCACTTTCTTTTTAATACTTTCATGCAATAGTCCGTGAATCCTGTTTTCACAACGTACAAGAAAGTCGTTTGTACGTCAGTCAAAACAAACGAGTTGTTGTTGTTTGTTTGTTTCTTATGATTTTTACGTCCTTTTCTCTCTCTCTCTCTCTCTTTCTTTCTTTTTCCTCCCTCGTGTATTGTTACCCCGCTTAAAAAGACAAAAAAAAAAAAAAAGGTCGGAATTTTGCAACCGTATGTGTATTTGAACTTTGACCCCCGCGATTCATTTTTCATTGTTCCATTGTGTATAATTTTTTTTTTTATTTTGTTTTCTCGATTATCACGATTGATCCATCATCCATCGTTTCGATTTATGTCTTCCCCCCCCTCTCTCTCTCTCTCTCTCTCCCTTTTGTTCTCTCGTTTGATTATAATTTTTTTTTGTTATTCTTATTCTGATTTCGAAATTTAAATTTTTTACTGGAGCGGAAAGCGAATGAATAAGAAGAATCGGAAAACGTTTGTTGTTGTTGTTGTTGTTATTGTTGTTGTAGTTATAGTTGTTGATTAATACGAATTCTTTATTTATCGATTTATTATTATTGTTATCTTATGCCACGTTGCTCCTTCTGCTGTTGTTGCTGCCACTGTCGCAACGTTTGTGCTGCTCCGTTTCGCATCGTCGGTTATTTATTCTTATTAAAAAAATCGGATCGTTATTACGGTTGACGGTGACGTGACATTGCGTGAGTGGGCGCGTTGTGCGTGTGCGTGCGTGGGTTGTTCCTCTCTCTCTCTCTCTCTCTTTCAAAATTTTAAAACTGTAATTTTAATCCTCGTTTAAAATGTAATCACGTGTGTCGAAAGTTAATAAAACAAAGTCAATATTATTATTATTATTATTATTATTATTATTATTATTATTATTATTATTATTATTATTATTATTTTGTGTTGTGGGAACGACCAAATTTGTGGAAAATCAATTGGAAAACATTTAAACGAGATTTGTTTTCCTTTTTTTTTTATTTTCTTCTGCTACCCACTTTCTCTCTCTCTCTTTCTCTCCTCCCCGATAACGAAACGAGTCCTAAACCTAAATAAATTAATAAATAATTAATTAATTAATTGATTAATTCCGTCGTCGTCGTAGTCGTGGTCGTAGACGTTAATTAACGTTTTTTTTTTTAATAATAACCTTTTCTTAGACCCACTTTAATTTTTCAAAGGTCGAATTAAGTAAGTAAGTTGCGAGGTCTCGGAGTCGATCAACAGGTGTCACGCTCGAAAGATTTTTTCTCTTTGTTTTTATACTAGTGCCACGAAAGTTTTAAATCTGTGCGAAAGTATTGCTGAGATATCGTAGGTCGGTAAAAGAATCGTTTCGGCAGAAAAGAAAAAAAAATTTTGTGATTAGCGACCTTACGCGTGGCTGCAGTTACGAGATGTGTTCAATAAATCTATTTCCACGTCTTTTGAATTTTGACTTTATTTATCAGAGCACGTCGTCGTTGTCGCACGACGTCAAAATATCTCATTTATTATATATGAGTTAAAATTTTTTTTTTTTGTCAATTGTTTAAATAATTAATGACGTTTGTTTGTTCGTTCGTTCGTTCGTTTGTTTGTTTGTTTGTTTGTTTGTTTGTTGTTAACGGTAATCGAAATGTTAGGAGGAAAAGTGAGAATATAAATTTAATTTGTCAGACTGTGGAAAAAACAAAAATGATAATGTTTGATTTTCTCACGAGGCAGTAAAAAAGTGAAAGAAAATTT